ATCTTAACGATTTTTTAATATGAGAAACAGAGTTGCTTGTATGTGTTTGTATGTGTGTGTGTTTGTGTGCGTGTTTGTTTGTTTGTGTGTGTTTGTGTGTGTGTGTGTTTGAGTAAGTGTTTGTTTGTTTGTGTGTGTGTGTGTGTGTGTGTGTGTGTGTGTGTGTGTGTGTGTGTGGTGTGTAGTTATGTAAGTATTTTTGCATGTATGTGTACGTATGTGTGTATGTGTGTTTGTTTTACTTCGTAATAATTAGCGTTCAAAACTCTCAGTCAACCCTAACTCTATACAGACACACACGCGCGTACACACACGCACGCACAAACACATGATTTTGAAATGATAAATGCTTATTTTATGGCCATATCAGGTTTCTAACATTAAATATATCATTTAGGGAAAAATAATTATTAGTAGTAGTAATAGCAGTACTACAAGTAGTAATAGGTAGTAGTAGTAGATAGTAGTAGTAGTAGATAGTAGTAGTAGTAGTAGTTGAAGAAGAAGAAAAATTGTAGCAGTATTAGTAGTAGTAGTAGTAGTAGTAGAAGTAATAGTAGCACTAGAAGCAATAGTAGTAGTAGTAGTAGCAGCAGCAGTAGTAGTGGAGTGGTAGTAGTAGTAGTAGTAGCAGCAGCGGTTGTAGTAGTAGTAGTGGCAGTAGTAGTAATAGTAATAGTAGTAGTAGTAATAGTAGTAGTAGTAGTAGAAGTAGTAGTAGTAGTAGTAATAGTAGTAGTAGTAGAAGTAGTAGTAGTAGCAGTAGAAGTAGTAGTAGTACTAGTAGTAGTAGTAGTAGTAGTAGTAGTAGTAGTAGTAATAGTAGTAGTAATAGTAGTAGTAGTAGTAGTAGTAAAGCAATAATAATAATAATTTATAATATTAACATAGGATGAAACAAAAATAGGTCGGTATAGTGTATCCAACACGTATGGACCTGTTTCAAACGCAGCTTAATATATTTTAATCGCAGGGCCGTCTCTATTTTATTGAATTTGATTTTTTTTTGTTTTCCTACTTTCTCTCTATTACAAAAAAGGGGAAAAAAGAGATATTAAGAGAATGAGAGAGTAAGAGAAAGGAAGAAAAAGAGAAAGAGAGAGAGAGTGAGAAAAGGAGAGAAAAACTAATGATTATTCAATCACTCACTCACAAATGCATCAAATACACACATGTACTAACGATATAATTGAAACATCGTGAATTCATTCTATTTCATTCATCCATTCATTCATTTATTCCTTCATTCATTCATTCATTTATTTATACATTCATTCATTCGTTAGTTGGTTCGTTCGTACGTGCGCTCGTTCAAACATTCGTTCGTTCGATCATTCATTTGTTTGTTTATTTATTCCATCTGACATACATATAATATTATTATTTTAATTATTATTGATTATTATTGCTTCATAAATATTTATTATTATATTTTACTATGCATTATTACTTTTACTTTTTATTATTACTCAAGAATATTCATTATTACATTTCACTATTCATTATTACTCGTGAATATTCATTATTATATTTACTATTCATCATAACTCATGTATATTCATTATTACTCATTACTATACATTGTTACTCATTAATATTTATAATTAATCCAGTGTAATTATGGTGAAACCACATTAAAACGATGTAACAGCAAATTTTTTTCCACCCATCCATCCATCCATTCGTTGGAAACTAATCAACCAAACAATCGATTACTCAATCAATCTTATAGTCAATCATAGGCTCTCTCTCTCTCTCTCTCTCTCTCTCTTTCTTTCTCTCTCTATTATTCTCTCTTTTCTTCTTTCTTCTCTTTTTTTCTCTTTCGTTCTTCTTTTTCTTTCTTCCTTTCTTTCTTGTTTTCTCTTTTTTTCTTTCGATCCTTTTATCTTTTTCGACATTTAGTAATGGTTTTGTTGTTTTTTTTTCTTATCTTTTCACTCTCTCTCTCTCTCACACACACACACGCACGAATACGTACCCAAACACAAACACACACACGTACACACGCACATACAATACAAACTTGTTAATAGTTCTTGTAGTAAACTGTTGATGTTTCAGATGTTTCTAGTTTCAATAAATTAGTCAGCGCTAGCATTCTCGTTCAATAGCTTTTTGTATGCCTTTTTGTATGTTTCTATATTTGTTTGTATGTCTGTGTGTTTAGTGTGTGTGTTCTTTTTACTGTACATGTGTGTCTTTGTATGTATGTGCCTGCATGTGTGTGTATGTCTGCCAATATGATTTTTTTTCTATTCAAATTCTATAGAGGATTGGTATTTTTTGTAATAAAACCGTCAATTAATTTTTCACTCACTCATCAACTTATCAACAATCAATCATTCAATCAAACAGACGAACATGCAATCCAACCAATCAACCATCTAAACAACCAGCCAACCCAACCCAACCCAACTCAACCAAACCAACCAACTAGTCAACAAACCAGCCAATCAGCCAACTGACCATTCAAGCATTATACAGAATCGAAATGTACCGACACTCTACTTTCAACAATAAGAATTAATTTAGCAAACATCTGTAAAATTTCAACCGTGTTACTTATCTACAAATACACACACACACTCATGCACACACACACAAACGCACCCACACATACATGCACACACACACATACAGAGAGAGAGAGAGAGAGAGAGAGAGAGAGAGAGAGAGAGAGAGAGAGAGAGAGAGAACTTTTGTTGTTGTACATACATCTTGTCATGTACAGATTAAACTGAATTGTGTTGCACGGTTTTGTACACATGTATGTAAATAATAATGTGTATGCACCGGTATGTTTGTGTTTATGTGTGTGTATGTTTTTTTGTATGTATGTGTGTGTGTGTACGTACAATAAATATATAAAATGAAATACAATGACTGCTAAACAATATATGAAAAAATATACAATGATATATAAATATACAAAACTATAGACAGATACATACAAAATAACAAAAACATCCATTCAAAATAATACACAAACAAACAAACATACAATCATACAAACAAAATAATACACAAACAAAAATACAATCATACAAACAAACATACAAACAAACTCAGAAAAATACACACAAGCAGGAGATAATTTTCGTTAAACATTACATACAACACACATCATCATCCTCCTTCCAGCTATTCACTTCCCTCTGAATTTTAAAAGTTAATTTCTGATAAAAAGGCTAACAGGGGTTAAGCCTGCAAGTTTGAGGGATCAAAAGGTTAAGAGAAATAAGGTCGAGGTCACCTGAAATAAGGTCAAGAAACGTAAATATTTTTTTTTTTATAAATAATAATAACAAAAAATGGAATGACTACATTGGTTTATTCTAGTGGCAAAAAATATTTTAAGTAATTTATAATATAAATTTATAAATATTTGAATAAGTGTTTATGCATAGGTGTGTGTATTGTATGTGCTTGTGTGTGTATGTGTGCGTGTATGTAGGTACGTACGTGTTTTTTTTGCTTATTTCATTCATTGGAATGCCTTTTGAAGTACATTATTTTACCTTTCGGATTCTTTCCATGCTGCTTGTATTTGTTTAGTTGTTTATATGTTTGTAGGTTTGTTTTTTTAGTCTTTATTATTGCAGCTCTGACATACGCAGAACCACTTATATTGTTGCATATATAGATTATGTTCTTCATATCTTCATTGACACAGGGGCTGTTAATTCTTCTCATACGACGCACACATGGATTTATGTGCACGCGCAAGCACCGCATCATATACGCTAAGTATATGAGATGTTTGACTCAGTGAGCATTTGAACCACTGAGCCATCTCGCCGGCCAACATGCGACAACTTTACGTTGTCTACCCATTTACCAGCCTCGAAAGGATGGATTGGCCGAGGGTCGGCTACCCGGATGAACCTGTTTGTATATCTGTATGCTTATGTTTTGTTTGTATGTTTGTGTCATACAGAAGTTTGTATATTGTTTTTCTGTATGGTTTTTTCATTAAAGTTTGTATATTTTGTTATTTGTTGTATGCTGGTTGTAAATATGATGTTGTTTGTATATTTGTATATCATATCTTGTACAGTATTGTAAGTTGTTTGTATGTTTTTATATTTTAACTTTTTAACTTGTACACTGTTGTATGTTGTTTGTTAGTTGGCGTACACTGGCGTACACAAAACCAGCAATCGTACAGATGAAAAACGTACAAGTTGTTATTTATTTATATGTATGCTTCCTGATTGATTGTCTGGATGCTTTGCTTGTCAATAATCTGAAACGAGAGCTTGCATGGAAGTATGTGTTGGTATGTATGTTTGTATGTATGTTTGTATGTATGTTTGCATTTATGTTTGTTTGTATGTTTGTTTGTCTTTATGTTATTTTGTTTGCTTTTATGTTGGTTTATTTATGAATTATTATTATTAGTATTATTATGTATTAATTTTTAAGTGTTTGTATGGGTGCTTTTGCTAATGTATGTATGTATGTATACATATATGTATGTGTGAACAAGCCATGGTTAGGCATGCAATCGTTTCCGATTTCAACTTTTATCTATGTCCCTGGTCTCGCACAGTCAGGTATCTAGCAGCTCCATCCAGAATGCAAAAGGAATTAAATTTTTGTAATAAAAGTGAAAGAGTTTGTTTTAAATAATTGCCTTCGTTAGGATCACCCGTTATATTAACTATTTTTCTTGTTAATTCGTTAATAAATAATGATGTGTGCTTATGTATGTGTGTATGTATGTTTGTTTGTTTCTTTGCATGTATGTCAGTGAGTTTTCGGAAACGTTTAATGGTATGTTTATTTGTATAGGTTGTATTTTTGTTTGTCTGGGCTCTTGTTTGCTTTCAATATTTTTGATTGTTCATATTTAAGTGTGTATATGCATGTGTGTATATGTGAGTGTGTGCGTATGTATATATGTATGTATAAATGTATCTATGTTTATGTGTGTGTGTTAGTATATATGCATGTGCGAGTACTTATATATATATATATATATATGTTTCGAGTAATATGTTTGTGTATTTAATGTATCTAAGCAAGTATATTTGTTTGTTTGTATGTTTGTTTGTTTGTATGTATGTTTGTTGGTTTATTTGTTTGTATGTATGTTTGTATGTGCACATCAATTGCAA